TGGTTGCATATCTCGTTTGCGTGCACAGGGTTTCGAACGAGATCAGAGCACCCCGTCGAAGTTTTAAGTTTTGGAATTATTGCAGATTTTCTGCAATAAATGCAGAAAAACAACATATTCCCCAAACTTAAACCCTCATAACTCTCTCATCTCTCAACCGATTTGGGAGATTCAAAAGGCAAAGTTGTGAGATTTTTCAAGGACAACGTGTTAGTGAGCTCGGATAGTGATTTGGAGTCCCTGCTTGAGGTAAATTTGGTAAAATACCTGCTACCGCACCCTTTTTGTGAGCTTAATTTTGGAAATTTTTTAGACTTGTTTTCTCAGCCATTTTAGGTCCGATTTCAGTGATTTTTGAGGCTATCTTTAGTGGTTTTTCGAGGAGAACATTGTGGTGTTGTCATATTTTACTGTAGACCGCCCATTTCTGGTAAATATGCTGAATTAGCTGTTGTCCTATTCCTTTAGTTCTTGAGGAAAATTTGGGTTTTGGTTGTATGTTGGTACTGTGTTGTTTCTGAGCCCCGAATTGTGTCCCATCATGGAACACAAGTTCGGGGAGCTGTTAAGAACCCACTTTTGGGGTTAATTTTGAAATTTCCAGCGCAGGTCACACGATTCCTGTTTTGACTCCAAAATTGACCCGTCTCCGTTTGTTGTGATTTTGGTGTCTAAACGACTGTAATAACGTTGTGATTCTATTTGATAGCGGGGCAGCGTTTCGAGGACGTTCAAAAAGGGAAAGCTCCGGAGAAGTGATTTTGAAGCGCGTGTGATTGGCCTACAGGTAGGCTACGGTTTCCCTCTCTTAGATTGAGCTCGAGAATGTGAATGCATGTTGATTAGTTGGGATTTGGGTTGGGTAGTTATTGAATCCTGCATAGGTGTTAAGAAATCATATTTTCGGCCTATTTCGGGAATTATCGAGTAACTGTGAGTATGCTTTGTGTTATTAATGGACCCTCCTCGCTATGTGTGTGCTTGCATGCTTAATTACTGTTTATTTGAAGCACGCTGGCCTTAGTTTAGGTTTGACTAGGGCTTACCTTAGAAATACATGATTCGGATCTGATAGGCCTTAGTTTTGCCCCGACGTCGCTCGGCCGACTTAGATCCCTGTATACTGGTATAGAAGACTTGAGTCTGATAGTTTGGGTCTTAGCTAGGCGATATGCTTGCTCCGACTTTAGTTATCCTTATTTTCCCCGATGTTACGGCTTCACGAGTTACGTCGGCGACGCTAATTCTACTTTGCGATTTGAATTTGATTTTCGATTTGGTTCCAAGGACTTACATTGATTAGCTAAGTATGGACGGCGTTCCACGAATATTTATGAGTGTGGGTCGATTAGAACTCTTTCAGCAGCTACATTGGCACCTTTATAGAGCATCCGGTTAGAGTTCCGGCCTCTATTGCCCAAATAGTATAGAGCATCCGGTTAGAGTTCTGACCTCTTATACTTGTTACTTGTGATTGGTTACTTAGGTACTTTTGGTGAGCATCCGGTTCGAGGTCCGGCCTCCGTACTGTCAGATTCTACTAATTAGGGTTGAGGTTCTGGTTCGATGTTCTTCGTTCATGGGTTCTTTTATGCAATTCTCTTTAGTTATAGTTATTTTGTGTACTCGTCGTGCTTATGGGGGTCCGTTTGGGTTTTTATTTAACTTGCGCACGAGTGTACCTTCTGGGCTTATGGGGGCCCAGTTAGGTGTAGTTAGCTTATAGATTACTTTAGTTAGTTCTTTGTACACTCGTGTGCATTCCCTTGTTAGTTAGATTTTAGTTCTTGACTTCGGTTTGTGTTATTCCTTCTTTTCATATTGCCTTTACTTTTCAAGTTCAGTCGGCCTATGATGCCTACTGGGTACCTGTTGTTTTGGTACTCATGCTACGCTCTGCATCTATTTCGTGATGCAGGTCCGGGCACTAGTAGCCAGCGTTGATCGAGCTTGGAGCAGACTGATCCGGAGACGGGAGTGAGCACACGACGTTTTGTACTATTTCAGTCTCCATCTGTATATATAGACTTGTCTTTTACCTTTCGAGACAGTCCAGTCTCAGTTGTCCAGTTTTGGGACTTGTACTCATTTTGTTAGTAGCTCTGTACTAGTGACTTCCAGGTTCTGGAAGAGATCTTTATTTGTGTATATATTTTTGGTTTGCTTCCGCCTGTTTATATTGTTATTTGCCTACTCTTGTTTAGTTTCTACCCTCAGACCCATTACTTGTTGTTCCGGTTTACGGGTTGGCTTACCTACTGGTGGGTTATAGTAGGTGCCATCATGACTTGAGAAATTGGGTCGTGACAAGTTGGTATCAGAGCCCCAGGTTTATCGGTCTCACTTGTACAGAGCTAACGTCTAGTAGAGTCCTGCGGATCGGTGCGGAGACGTCCGTAACTTATCTTCGAGAGGCTACAGGATGTCCTTAGAAAATTTTCCTCTTTTGTTTCGCTTTCGTGCAGCGTGTGTCTTATTGGTTTCTGGAAATCTCACTTATTTCACTCTTTCGCAGGATGGCTCGCTCGCGAGGTGGCGCGGCCAGGGGTGGCGCACCCGGGTCTGCAGGCAGAGCCTCAGCTTGGGGTAGACGCCGACCCCAAGGTCGAGGCAGGGCTGTAGCACCAGCCCAAGATAGAGAGGAGAAGCCTCAGGCAGCATATGTACCTCCACAGTCGGTGGGACCGGGGCCAACCCAGCCACCACTTGCACCAGCTGCAGCTCCTGATCTTCATGCTCTGCTGACTCAGATACTAGCAGCTATTGGGGAGATACGACAGGCACCAGCACCAGTCCTAGCACCACTAGCTCCAGCGCCGCAGGGTTAGCCTGCCGCAGCGGCACCAGAGGTTCAGCCGCCACCAGTTCATGTGGCTGTCGTGTCAGACTTAAAGGACGGGGAGATGCCACTGTGCGAGCAGATGATGCTCGGGGTATTCTAGAGGTTGGCACCGCCGATATTCTCAGGGGCGATTGGGGAGGATTCCTACGAGTTCCAGCTCACTTGTCAGGAGCAACTACAGTCATTAGGCCTCTTGGAGTCGAGAGGAGCCGACTTCACCGCTCATCAGTTTCGTGGGCCAGCCAGGCAGTGGTGGCGTTCGTATCGAGAGTCCAGGGCAGCTGGATCGCCTACTGTATCTTAGAGTGAGTTCTCAGAGGCTTTCTTGGCCCGGTTCATACCACGGAGCGTCAGGGATAGGCTTCGTGATCACTTCTCCAGATTGGAGTAGGGCCCTATGACCGTCTCAGAGTACGAGATGAGGTTCTATGAGTTTTCTCGACATGCTACCATGATCCTACCCACGGAGGTGGAGAGAGTTCGTTGTTTTGTACGTGGGTTGCGGTATCGTCTGAGGGTCGACACAGAGCATTTAGTTTCGGCCGGCCGTTAATTTCTTGATGTGGTCGACCATGCCCGATCCATGGAGCATATTCATCGTGAGGCCCAAGGGGGCAGCGACAAGAGGGCACGCTACCAGGGCAGCTACAGCGGATAGGCCCCACCAAAGGTTCCAGCAGGGTCAGTCAAGTCGGCCTGTTTAGGCGGCATCACCTGCTTCTGAGGGAGGTCAGCATCACCAGGGTAATCCTAGTACGGGCCAGAGTTCGAGGGGATTAGATTCCCTCCCTCCCTACCGCGGTTGGGTTACTATAGGGCGTTCAACTTCAGGGTGTTATGATTGCGGTGCTCTTGACCTTTGGTCCAGAGGGTGCCACCGACGAGGGCGAGGGGTGATTGTACCAGCTCCTCTTGCACCTAGACCAATTTCAGCAGTACCCTCTCCAGCTAAAGGTGGTGGTCAGGATCAGGACCGTCGGGACAACCGACATGGTACCAGAGGCGGAGCTTGGAGAGGTAGGTCAGGTGGTAGATCGGACGCACCGGGCAGAGGTGCTCAGGGATGGCATCTTCTTCTAGAAATCCTAGCTATTCTTAGCATGATATTGGGAAATCTCATTGCTATTACTCAAACACTCGGCGGCGGCTGAGGCATTAGACGATGTCATCACAGGTATGCTTTTATTATGCCATCAGCCTGCTACAGTATTATTTGATCCCGGGTCCACATTCTCGTATGTA